ACAATATAAAGTTTTTTATTGAAATCGTAGCTTAAATAAGTTTATTCTTATAATCACTTTTAAGAGTTCCCATCTAATAAATTTAAATTTTGAATTTTAGTTACCATCTAATAAATTTAAATTTTGAATTTTAGTACCTCTAATCTTTTTTTATATTCTTAGATTATGATCTTTTATGTACTGAAAAATAAAAACTTTGTGAAGAAGTGTATAGGTTGTTTTCTCATCTTCTTATTTCTATATCTTAACCTAATTTTAGCCTGAATATGCATCTATGAAGCTAAGTAGGCCATGCTCAGTACTGTCATTTACCAATCGATCTATACTCGATAGAGAGAAACTATCCTTTGAATAGGTTTTATTGAGATTAGTGAAGTCAACACTCATTCACCATTTTCTGTTGTGTTTTTTCACCATGACGATGTTGGCTATCCACTAACGGTAGTATGCTTCCCTGATGAAATCAACCTATAGTAGCTTACTAACTTCTTGCTTAATAACCTTTTTCCTTTTAGGGCAAAACTTCTCATTTTTTTTCAAACTGGTTTCATGTTTAGATTAGTGTGTAACCACTATTACCACAACATCAATCCCAGGCATATCTAATGGGGTCCGTATAAACAAGTTACCATTATCCCTTAGTAGTTATACCAGCTTTTCTTTTTGGTTGAGCTTGGCCCTTATTTGCATACATTTATCTATGTTATTTTTGAAAAATGGCACAAGTAAGAGGTTTTCTGTCGATTTTGGTAAATTGATACCATTTTCAGGTCATTGATCGATGATATTTTTTTGTTCACTTAGATCGAGACTATTTATTGCGAGGACAAATCTTAACATGAGTGTCAATGTTTTTAATTCATTAGTTAGGGTAGATATGCATTAATATAAGCTGAACAATTTGCTAAATGTAATCATTTGTATTTATAGAACTAGCTTAAGAGCTTGATTCAAAAGAAACAATATTATTGTTGGCTTAAGAATGTAGTATAAAAAATCTTTAAAAGATATTTACAAATTAAAAGCTTAAGAGCTCAGTGTCGGTTCTTAAGAAAGTGTTTCTTATTTCTCTTCAGCTTGGTTGGTCTTGTGTTTTTTACCTTGATTGTTTTTTTTTCATTTTTTAACATTCTTGACATTGACCTCTGTCTCATCCTTAGCTTGGGTTCTTTGATTTTAATTGAATTGGCAATCTGCCTTCCAATCCTATCCCTCATGGTTGTAATATAGCATTACCTTGTTATGGACTGGTATCCTCGATCCTTTCCAACCCCGATAAAAGTAGGAAACTTTATCTTAAAATGAGGAAACTGAGCAAATGATCATCATAACAGACTGATTCAATTGACCTAAATCATGTTATATGCTGATAAGATGTCTACCATAATAAACTCAATGACCAAGGTGACAATTCTCAACTCAATCCCTAATTTGATTGGTAATCTAATTGTACTCTTTATTGGCACCTGCTCATTCCTAAAGTCGATCAAGATGGTAATAAATGGTTTTAACATCTCTTCGATAATCTTCATCCTTAGCATAGTTGAATAATACATGACCTCGGTCGAGCTCTCATTATCAAATAAGATTCTCTTCACCACATGGTTGTAGACCACAGCATGAATGATAATGGCATCATTATATGAAAATTAGATCTCTTTCAAATATTTCAAGCTAAAAGAGATCAACTTATTTTTCTAATTTTTATATTTCTTTGTCGTGGACTAAATAACCATGTCCATCCTCTGATCAAACTTCTTTTTGTTTGACGTTTAGATCCCACCAAATATCACATTAATAATTTTCGTAATAGGCCGTTTGTCCACATGGGATCTTTTTTCTTCATTTTTAATCAGACATGCAATCATCATTACCTCAGTTACCTTTTTCACTTTTTTTTAGTTCTTTCTGGACTGTTCTTCTCATTTTTTCCTTTGAAATTCTTTCTCTCTTGTCCCTATCTTTTTCATTCCACAAACTTGTTTAGTAAACCTCTTCTAATCAAATTCACTATGTTATTCATCAAGTTAATACAATCCTTAGTATTGTAGTCGTAATCTCTATGAAAAGCATTTTTTTTGTCAGATCTTTTTTACTATTTTACCTTAGTGGCTTAGGTTATCTGAGCTTGGAGTCTTTTTCTATTTGCATCAGAATCCTCTTTTAAGAGGTATTTAGTGTAATGTAGTCATGATGTCTTTTGCTTGGGCTTTTTACCCTAAGGTACCCCTTAGATTTTTTTTTCTTAGGAGATTGTTGATTTCTTTTCCTCTTCTGGAGTCGAAGAAAGAAGATGAACCTTTTTCACCTTGGTTATTTTTTATTTTAGCTTCAACATTGATGTATTTTTCAACAATTAGTAGCACGTCAGCTAGAATTTTTTACAACTTTAAGGAAAATGTGAGCTTAAAGTGATACTATGTCATTTAGTCTGCTTATCAGGGCAACCACTGTAGCAACTCATTATAGGTTTTTCACTTGAAAAGCCTCAACATTAAAACATGTGACATACTCTTTCAAGGTTTCATTTCTCCCATCATAGATCGACATCAAACTTAGTGTCATTTTCTTTGTTCATTGGCTGCTGATGAAAGAAGACTAAAATAAGTAGCTGAGCTACTTGAATGAGGAATTTGACCTCGGTTCCAAGCTATTGTACCATGACCAAGCTATGCCTTTAAGTATTGTGGCAAGCCCTTTGCACATGAAAGGCTCGTTGGCTCCTTATATCATAATATTAGCTCGATAAAGCTAATAATGGTTAAAAGGATCAGATTTACCATCATAAGCTTTCAAAGTCGACATCTTTAATCCCTTATATGGCAAAGATCAATTTATATCCTCGATAAACGAAGAGGTTTCCAAAAACTTTAGCTCATTATCAAAGGCAAAAGCTTTATTCTTCAAATCTTTTTTCATTTGCTTTTATCCAACCTTTCAAGTCCTTGCTAGGCTGTGGTTCCAATATGGTTTGTTTAGACTTTTGAGTGGTGGCATGTGTCATGGTATTCACAGGATAATGGGTCATTAGTGTTTCATCCCAATCAAATGCTGATGAGGCGACACTATCGTCGTAGGTCAACAGTTTTTGTGTTGGTGAGTTATCGAGAGTTGTTGGATTTTATGCTTTAACGGTTTGTGATAGGGTCAGGTTTTGTATTATTTCCTTCAAAAATTGTAGCTGTTGGGTAAGTGTTTCAAATTGTTCTATATTAGGGCTGCTTGCACACATCGGTCAGGGTTTGATTGGCTAAGCTGGGTATCAATCCCAATACTAACATTTTCTCCTTCCTCAACTACTCTTTTTCTTGGTGCCATGTTAGTTCCGGTAAATTAGAATCCCCCAACCGGTGGCCCAAAATATTAGTACCATGCTATTTACGAGGGGTAAAAACCTGAAAGCACTAGATTGGAAGATCAATCAATGACAAAGGCTAAAAGATTTTTTAGCGTTTGCGCTCTAACATTCAAATCAGTGCTCTTTCAAGGAATGGGAAGGAAAAAATGGCAAGAGGTAAGTATGGAAGTTAAAGTCCCAATTAGTTTAGGATTACTTGAAAGTGGATATTTATACCTATGTAATGGAGGCATTTGGTCTAAATGGCCCGAGCTTTGAGTAGAGGATTAGGGTTAACGTCATAGGCCTGAGCTGAACTAACAGTCAAAAACTCAATCAGAAGATGACAAGCTAATACTCTCATGTGCTATCAAATGGTATGCTAAAGTGAGCGAACTAATTTGAAGCCCAAAAATTCAAGTCAACTTTGTACGTTAACTTGACCAAAATAACCAAACTATCCCCTCTTAACAACTAACTTATACTCTAGCAGAAAAAATCTATTTTACTTTTTGACTCTTAAAATTTCCCATCAAATATCTCTAAAACTTTGTTTAAGATTTAGTCTCACCTATTGTTAAAATCAGTTTAGACCTTTCATTACTAAAAATAATTAATTAGAATTTTAAAAATTTATTTTAGGTTAATATTTTCATAATTTTAAAAATATTTTAGAATTAAATTTAAATAAACATATTTTTTATTAATTAAATAATATTGTTAGTTAGTTTTTTAGTTTGAAAATCTTGTTTAAAGTACAATTTGAGTCAAACCAAGCACGTGTGATGGCTCTGAACAAATCTAATTATAAACCACTTAAGTGTTTCTTTTTTAATTTATTAACAAACAATTAACGTTTCTCTTTTATTAAAAAAAAAAGAATTAATTAAAAATTGGTATCAATATTTATCACTTAAATTTAATATAAATTATAAGGATTATTGTCTTATATGTTGTCATCTACAAAGGTTTTAAATTTTAATAATAGATGATTGTCGAATTCTATTGCCTTCGTATATTTAGGATATTAATTTTAAATTTAAAGGATACTTCTATATTTCATCATATATATTGCCAAACCTTTATTATTATTATTATGAAATTACAAAATCTTTGTGTGGTAAACACTTTCTTTTTGTTATTTTTTGGTTTTTATATAAATTTTAATTTTTTTTCGTTAATTCTTAAAAAAACGGGGGGGGGGGGGTGAGTTACCGAAGGAAACCTTTTAAGTTTCAAAGATAAATTAAACAGCAGAATGTTGAAATAAGATGGCAAAATCACGGGAAGGAAGGGGTACCCTTATTATTATCTATTGGCAAACAGTCGACGGTGGATATGGGAAATAGCAAATACCAATTCCCATACCATAATAATTCCAATCAAATGTCCAAACATGGAGAGCAGAATTTCCCGAATTGTGACGTTGAAAGTGAAAAACGAAAGACATTACTCCAATATGTACATATATTTTATTCTTAAACCAAATTTATACTATGTGAACTATTAAAAAGTTAATCATTAGCTTGCCAGCCGTAATTCCCGCTGATACCGTGACTCCCAAAGTAAATTACCAAGATTTTCAGGGCCAAAATTGTCCATAAGTCCTCTATATAAACACCCTTTTGCCATATCAATTTTCAACTCCAAGATTAAACAAAAAAAATATTTTAAAAGATGATAACAGCCGGTGATTTTTACAAGGTGATGTGTGCAGTGGTTCCACTGTATTTCGCAATGTTGGTTGCGTACGGGTCAGTGAAATGGTGGAGAATATTCAGCCCGGAGCAATGTTCCGGGATCAACAGGTTCGTGGCTGTTTTTGCCGTGCCGGTGTTGTCTTTCCATTTCATAGCTCAAAACAACCCGTACCAAATGGACACCAAGTTCATCTTGGCTGATACCCTGTCCAAGCTTCTGGTCCTTGTCTTGCTCTCGGTTTGGGCTATCTTCTTCCCCGGTGGATCACTCGATTGGCTCATCACCCTTTTCTCTGTTGCTACTTTGCCCAACACTCTTGTCATGGGCATCCCTTTGCTTAATGCTATGTATGGAGATTTCACTCAAAGTCTCATGGTGCAACTCGTTGTTCTTCAATGCATCATCTGGTATATACATATATATATATATATTGCAAATCTTCATCATGTTTTTTTTTCCTCTTTCATTTACTATATTTCTTCTCATTCAAAACAAACAAACAAACAAACAAAAAGGTTTACTACCTATCATGTTTGCACGTTGGTAAAAGCTCAATTACCTCCTTTTTTTTCTTTTTTCGTCTCTATAGCTTCACCTTTACTAGAAGTAAAGCTGAAGAGTTTGAAAAAAAGTAAAACACAAAAACATGCATTAAAAGCCTCGATTTTCAATTCAACAAAAAAAAAAAAAAAGGAGCAAGTCTCCATTCAGAAGTAGCTGTCTGCTATAGTTCATTGGCAATGATTTATCTTTAGAAAAAAACAAGATGACAAAGATTCTAAAAATATAATGGTCAAAAACAACTGTATTTCAGTTGTATCCAAAGCATTGTGTTCAATTCATTGATGCATGATTCTTTTTTTTTTACTATTACATTATATATTTTTGTCTTTATTTCTTCAAATTTTGATCATAAAGGACAGCTCACAGCCGAACATAGTTAAGAAAAAAAAAAGATAAAAAAAAATCAACAAAACACAAAGCAATCTAACGACGGCGTTTTGTGTTGCAGGTACACGCTAATGCTCTTCCTCTTCGAATACAGAGCAGCAACTCTCTTAATCAAAACCCAATTCCCAGGACCCACGGCCGCTACCATTTCCAAATTCGAGCTTGATAACGACGTAATCTCATTGGACGGCCGTGATCCTCTCCGTACAGAATCCGAAACCGACGTCAACGGTCGTATCCGCGTCCGCATCAGGCGTTCCACTTCATCGGCCCCGGACTCAGCTCTATCATCCTCCATCTGCCTCACACCTAGGGCATCCAACCTGTCCAACGCTGAAATCTTTTCCGTTAATACCCCGGGAGGACCAAATAATAACGAGATTGTTTTCTGTAATGGCGACTTGGGGTTCGGTTACCGTGCCGTTAGTCCCCGTTTGTCGGGATACGCTTCGTCGGATGCTTACTCTTTGCAGCCGACGCCAAGGGCTTCGAATTTTAACGAAATGGATGTGATTACGACGACGGCGGCGGCGACTGGGAATACACCAATATGGATGAGGTCTCCCGTGGCGGGCACAAAAGTTCTCCGGCAGCCATCTCCAGTGGTTCCTGCTAGGAAAATGGTTTGGGAGTGTCAAGATGGAGGTGGTGGTGATAATAGACAGGGATTCAAAGACCTTGGTGGTAAGTCCATGCAAAATCTTTATTAAAATAATTTTTGGTTGTTATTATAAATTTTCTTTTAGAAAGTAATTTTAGATGTAAAAATAAATTATATTATTGAATAATAATTAAGTTCAAGAGTTACAAAGTTAAATTCTTTAGAATAAAAATCACATTTACATGGAGTAAATTTTGTTTTTTTTGTTCCCTTGAATTTCAAGGAATTTAAAATTAAAACTATTTACTCAAAAAAAAAAAAAAGCTACCATTTTGATATATTTTGTATTAAAATATAATTTTTTTATAAAAGCCATGTTTCATGAATTTAATATAAGAAAGTCATTAAAATTAATTTTAAAATGTAAAAATAAAAATATGAGGTAATCATAGAGACATACTTTTACAACACTAGCTTTATGCACACGGATTATTTTTTATGACATAAATATCAAATTTTGATTATTTAAATAAAATTTTAAAAGATAAAAAAGAAAAATTTTATAGTTCTCTTAAACTCTTAAAAGAGAAAATTAAGGAATAACTAATAAATGCATTTGTACAAATTTTTATAAAAAGAGTGAAATTTATATTAAATTAATTTTTTTTTAAAGTTATAATTATAATAAAATATTACATATATAATTAATTAATTAATTAATTATTACATCACAATCAAATTATAATTACTGAATAATCAATTAACAAACTAACTAACATATTTAAACAATCAAATTTACACATAATAAAATTTGAATATAAAATTTCAATGTTTTAAGATTTCCTCGTTACTATTAAATGATTATTATAATCTTATTAATACATGTATTTTTTATTTTTATATAACTGATTTGATGTTGTGTGATTCATGACACTAAATTGAATTAGGATTTTTATATTTAATATAAAAAAATTATAAAATTAGACAAATAATAATTATTTATTCATTTTTAATAAACTACTATGATTTTATTTTTTTATTATTTACTTTAATTTATAAATAGAATAAAATAAAAATGCTTTGAAAGAAAAATAACAAAACTACGAAAGCAAACAAAATTTAAATAAAAATACGATTGTAATTAAAAATTGTGAGGTAAAAATTTGGTTTTATTATTGGGAAGAAATTTATTTCAATTGAGTTGTTTTACTGTACATTTTACTTAGTTTGATATTATATTTCAACTAAATTCAGCCATAGAAAGAATAAAGATCAAACACAATTGTTGTCGCCAACAGCAACCAAAATAAGTTTCGCAAATTGTCTTACTATTTTTATCCCTACAAAAATAGTACTATAATTGAGTGCAGAGAATTGTGGCCTCATATATGAGGAAAAGTAAAAGTAAAACAGCCAAGACACATGCAGATTTTACAGGGATGCATGTACGTTTTGTCTCTTAAAACACTGCCAAAAAATATTTCGTGAAACGTGTCTGTTTTTTTTTTAAATACGAGGTAAAATCTTAGTATAAATAAAAAGAAGAGGAAAGATCAAATTTTAATCAGGCTCTCAACGTCTCTTCAAATATTTTTAATTATTAAACTAAAAATTTAGGGACGAAACGTGTCTGTCTGTCATCAAATATGATAACAGAAGTTATAGCAGCAGCACACACACTCACCAGAATTTGTGTATTTTTATCGTAATTATTTTATTGAATATATATAAAAAAATTTTATTATATTATAATACAAATTCACATATCAAATAAAAATATATTTTTTAATTTTTATCATATATATGATTTTTATTAATTTTAAATTATATCATTTTTTTATGTTTTTTTCTTATATTATTTGTGTATAATATTAACATATCTCATCTAAAATTATCACGTTTTTTCATCATACATTATTTCAAAAAGAAGCAATTAAGGTAATGAAATTAATCTTTTTTTTTCATCCTTACATTTTGTTAAAGTCGGATCCTCACTTGATAGATAGCATCATTAGCTCAGAGCACGTGTGTAATGATAAGGAGGACAAAATGATTTTATAGTTGATATTATTATAAATTAATAGAATAATGCAATAATAATCAACACCGAAACATGCTCATCCCATTTCTCTTTGTTTAATTATCTTGCATAATTTAGAGCTTGACCTTTTGCTAATGACCTAAAAAGTTATGAACTTATCTTTGTCTTTTTTTTTTTTTTTCTGAATGATGAAAGTTTCTGTTTCTGATGAATTAATGACGTGTTTTTGTAGAGAAGGAAATTAGCTTTAGGGACAGCTCCAAAATAACAGTAGCAGAGGTGGCAGATGGAAAGGAATCTGCAGTGAGCAAACAAGAAATGCCAAATGCAATAGTCATGCTAAGACTCATACTAATTGTGGTCGGAAGGAAGCTCTCTCGCAATCCAAATACTTACTCAAGTATATTAGGCCTTCTTTGGTCTCTCATCTCCTTCAAGTGAGTTTATTAATGATTATAAGACCCTAACCATCATCGAAAGATACAAGATTTTTTTTGGAAGGTGTTAACTTATAACATATATAAAAAAAAAAAAAAATCTATCATTTATTAATTTTATCATTGAAAAAGGTTTTTTATTTTTCAACCTATGGAGTGTGGATCCACCTTTGCTAATCATGCGGGACAAAGCTAAGTTAGTTGATCCAGGTCTTAACGCAGTTAAAAACTTTGATTTAATCTCATGGATTGTGTAGGTGGAATGTTGGGATGCCAAGTTTGGTGAAATACTCAATAAAAATAATTTCTGATGCAGGCCTTGGGATGGCAATGTTCAGTTTAGGTACTTGAGTTTCCCTCTTTCACTCACCTGCTTTTGGTAAACATTGCAGCTTTAATCTTTCTCTGGCACATGAATTTTGGACGACAATTTTACTTCTATCTTTGCAAATTTTAGAAATTTAAATCCAAAAATGTCAGAGATGATAATCAGACTGATATTGCAGGGTTATTCATGGCACTTCAGCCAAGAATTATTGCCTGTGGCGCAAAAAGAGCAACAATGGGGATGGTGATCCGTTTCCTATGTGGCCCTGTAATAATGTCCATGGCGTCAATTGTCATGGGATTAAGAGGAGCAAAACTACATGCTGCCATAGTACAGGTACTGTAAGTCTACAAAATGTAACAAGATTGAATTCATTTTATTACATGGTAGATGAATATCGATTAGGCTTTGATTGAAACATTGGTTGAAACTTAATCTCAGGCAGCACTTCCCCAAGGGATAGTACCATTTGTTTTTGCCAGGGAATACGGTTTGCATCCTGACTTATTGAGCACAGGGTAAGTTAAAATCAAAAGTACTCAACATCTGTTCAGTTTTTGTTGGTATTCTTTGATGTCTCATTTTCTTAAGACCTTTCGATTAGCTGTATTTCTGTTTTTTTCATAGGATGTTGACATTACATGAATAACACATTGATGCACTTATATTCTTGCAGGGTCATCTTTGGGATGTTGGTTTCATTGCCTGTAACACTTGTGTATTACATACTATTAGGCATATGAAGAAAGGAAGAAACCCAAAATAATAATAATAATAATAATAATAATAATAATAATAATAGATCAGTCGTCTCAATAAAAGATTATGGAGAAGCAAAAGCATTATATATCCTAAGTAGCTTGTGAAGTTCATGGAGAGTAGAATGTACCCGTAATTTCGCTTAATCCTATCGCTAAGCATAAGCTGTCGGGTGCAGTATATATGCTGGTTCTAGGCAACATGTCATTAGCCAGATCAAAGTTACTATATTTCTATGTCCTCATGAAACGCTCTAGAGAAAAAAATGAGGAATCTCCAAAGGCAAAAGAATAGGGTCATCTTAGGATGTTACAGGATTATTGAGGGTTTTTCATACTCTGGAATTGTTGCCCCCTCCCCCCTAGTACATAGATTAGTGGTAGCCGAAAGGAAAAAAGGATTATCATGACTTATGATTAAGGTAGGAGACTTGTTTTTCTTGTTGGGGGTGGGTAAAAAGATGCTGCAACCAAGCGTGTTTGACTCGAGAAAAGAAGAAAAAAAAAAAAAAGCGAAAGAAAAGGCAAAATCATATCAGTTTCCCTACTTTTGTTTTTTCGCTGTCATTTTTAATATTTGGATCTATAATCACTATAGTCATTACTACGAACAGTTCTTGCTTTTCTTCTTTTCTTTGAGAGATTTCATGTATGAAAACCAGACCTAATTTGGCTTAAAATTGAAGCTTGCAAACAAGAGAGGAAGCATTGCTTGTTCCTTTGTTTGCCCATATCCCAACAGTAAGGAGGCATTTAGATTGGATGGGCACCCAAAATCTCCATCATCAAAGCATTGAAAGTAAAGAGCAAGGGATTCTTGTGGCCAAAGTCTTAAACCATAATAATTCTGTTTGCTTTTGTTGAAAAGTTTCAATTTCTTTGCCTTCAAAGTTCAAAAGAGACCATATGATGTATCAATCAGGCCCTGAATTGGACTCATATTTATATCAATATAGCACGAGTGATCAGACCATAGAAATCTGACAGATATCAATATGCAATAATGTAGGGTGTCCATCTCTCCATTGTGGAAAATATGAAGCGATAATCATTTTATGCCCGAGGAAGATACTGCAATTCCTATAAAACAAAATAATTAAGACAGCATAACAGATGCCAAAGACCATGAATTTCTCCTACTATTGTGAAATTTACAACCAACTCAATTTTTGTAGAAGCCACGTTTCCAAAATTTATTGCCAGCAAAGAATTTTACTCCACTTAACCAATGGTAACAAAAGCTTTTTGGTTTTTCAGTTTAAAGTAAAACACAAAAATATACAAGATAGAGTTTGAAGCTAGATGTTGTTGTTTTTGTAGAGATAGAAGTATAACAAAAAAACCTCTATTTAATTATTTAAGTGCTCATAGTGAAGTGCTTATTTTGAGTTGTTGGATGTATTTGGATTTTGGGTTCTTTGAGATTTGTTTTCATTTTTGTAATTTTGGTGATTTTTATAGTGAATTTATTGCTCTTTCTTTGCCCATGTAGATCATTCAAAGATTGTAACTTTTGTGTTTTTTTTTTTCTTCATTTTATTATTTGTTATCCTATGTTGGCATTTTTGTACTATCGTTTTAGTCTCTCTATCATTAACACCTACTTTTGTAGTAGAAATTTTCTATTCATGAAACACCAAAACTACTTAAGAACTAGCAAAATTTTGAAGAATAGATGATTTAGTCAAGAAGACAACTGGAGTACTCAGATTTTAAATTTTAAACTTTTGAAGAATACAATGTATGGCAAATTAGTATATAATTTTCTTCTATATTTTACTTCTTCTAGGACTTCAACATTTCAATTTTTTGTAACAAAAATTCGTTCTGGTCCAAGATAAGTGAAAGGGTTGTAGGTATTAAGATTTGAATCATATATTTAGTAAATATTATTTTTCAAAAGTAATTTTATAAATCAACTAAATTAAATTCTAAATTTTTTTTTCTTTTTAAAAAAATCATTACATTATGTATGCATGGGTCATTAATAAACTTGTTTAAGGGTTAAATTATATGATCGAGCCTAAACTTGCCTAAAATTTAAAAGGATTTGGATATAAATATTAGATCGTTAAAGTGAACCTTGGCTTAAATTAAAGATATGTTTAGAAATACTTGATGGTTATTTATATATATTTTATATTTATAATGATATTATATATAAATAAATGGATAATTAAATAATCTATTTATATGCATTAATATCATATACCTAAATGAACCTAATCAGATTCAAACGTTAAATTAAATTAACAAAATTATTTTTTTAAGTTTTATTTCATTTATTATTTATTTTGTTATAATTAATATTATTATAATTTTTTTACAAAATTTTTTTTAAATACAGACGAATTTAAATAGCTACTTTTATAAACAAGTCGAATCTAAAAAGCTAATGAAATTCCTATTTTGAGCCAAATAAATTTGATGCTAATTAATATTTCATTTAAGTCCGATCCAAATTTGATGCGATGCAATTTAATGAATAAGTCTAATCATGAAATGGTAATGATTATTTCATTTTTTAAGAATTTGATTTTTGATTTTTGATTTTTTATAACATGGTTATGGATATCTTTGTTGGGATTTATCTCCTCTCCAATTTTAAGGATATATTCCCTAAATCGGCATCAGCCTTTATTTTAATCCTTTAAATTTGATTTTCGACACCTTATAAATAATATAATAAGCAAAGAAAAAGGTCTTCCATTTACCTCTGTTATTGGGCCTTAAGTTTCTATCTGCAGACAGCAAAGCCTATTATACAAATATCTAACGGAACTGAACTAAAGCCCGTTAAACCAACTAGGTTTTACCCCTAAAAAGAATAAAAATGAGATATTTTGAGAAATTATCATATACATTTATAATATTGTTTTTTAATTACATAAATAGAGTTATTATGATATATATATATTTATAGTATAGGGGTTTTTTTTTTAATTTCATAAATAAAATTAACAGGATAATAAGTACCTTTTATATTTTAATCCAATGGGCAATGCCTATTATCACTATTATTAAAACCCAAGTTGGTGTCAAAGTTAACGGCATTTATAATTAAAAAAAACCAATAAAATTATCATAAAAATATAAAATCATACAAATTTATTTTTTTAAAAAAATTACTTATATAAAAAATTACCCACCACTTCTTGTTTTCATTCAGTTCAAAACATTTTTTCTTTCTCACTGCGCCACCCCTTTCCTTCTTTAAGGGCTTTGCCCTCCTATGAAAAAAATAGTTTTTTATTCTAAAAAAACCATGAGAAGATTTTAAAAAAATACTATATAAATACATTAAAAAGAGTTAACATGTGAGTAAAATTACTATAATATCTCTTTTATTATAATTATGAAGGTATTCTTCTTATCATAATCGATAAAAATTATTCAAATACTTTTTTTATCATAATTATGAAAACACCTTTTATATTATAATTAATCAAAATTATTACAATGTATTTTTATCGTAATTATCAAAATAACCTTCTAATTGTTTCATAGAAAGTTGACAAGTGACGTTATTAAAATTACATATTAAATTTTAACATAACATAATATTAAATACATATTAAATTACTAAAATAATCCTATCATTGCTTTATAGAAATTTGACATACAACATTTTATTTAAAATTTAATATAATACTCCTATTAAATTACATATTAAATTTTAATATAATACAAAATTAATTATTTATTAAATTATTAAAATACCCTAACCATTGCTTCATAGAAATTTCACATGTGACATTTTATATAAATTACTATAATAACTCTATTAAATTACATATTAAATTACTTACAAAAAAAATTAACTACATTTTAAATTACTATAACAAAATAAAATTTAAAAAATATAATGTTATAAATAAAACATAAAAAGACATAACAAAAAATTAAATTGCTTTTTATTATTTTAAAATATTTTTACAAAAAAATTATAAATTACAAAATATTAACAATCATACATTTGATCAAATGATTAATAAAAATACAACATTCAAAATATAATGTAAAAATTAACAAAAAACTGTAATTGTAATAAATGAAATAATATATATGAATTTTAAAACTTTTATAACATTTTAGTTATTTTATTATTTTATTTTAAAACAATTATAAATATATTTAAAATAATAAAAAATTAATAAATAGAAATAAAAAGTTTTGATAAAAAATAATTCAAACCCAACATATCGGGTAGCTATTTCTAGTTCATATGAATATAGCCAACATATATATATATATATATTATTTAAGTTTTTTTTTTAAGTAAATGTGCTAATCAAGCTTATGGGTAAACTGTTAGGTGATAAAATTACAATTTTTTTTTCATTTTGATGTATATTTTTCTTAAAAAAAAGGAACTATAAAATAATTACTTAAAGATTAGTTATGGAAAAGACTAGAACAAGAAAAAGCATAAAATTTGAGTGAATTATCATAAAGTGAGAATAAAAAATTAAATGATAACGTGACATTTGTGTTTTTTTTTTTTTTTGAAAATTTAGAATTGGAATATTGATATATATTAATTTTCATTTTTTTTGTGAATTTTTTTAACAATTCCTCATAGTATTTTGTTGGATCATGTAAATTATGTGTTTTATATATTAATTTAATAGAATAATTTTTAAAAATAATTTAAAAAATAAAGAAAAGATTTTTTATAAAAAGTGATAAAAATTTTAAAAAAACTATAAATAAAAGCATTTGATTTAAAAAAAAACTATAAATAAACGCATTTGATTTAATGTGACACAAAATAATATTCTATTAGACATAACGTGATCCATAAAAATTATAAATATTATCATATCAGATCATATTTTTAATTTTTGTAGATCGTATTGATATTATACATTAAATAATAATATTAGATTGATACAATCAAGTAACACATAAATTAATTTTTAATAGACCGTGTCAATCTGTCATGATATGCATAAGATCACCTTGTGAGTTTATGATAAACCGATAAATATTTGAAAACGTACAAATTATTTTTAAGCTAAAACAAATGAAAATCTTGGTGTTTATTTGATTTAAAAAAAAAAAAAAAAGGAAAGGAAACAATGAGCTTAAAATTGGATGAAGGAAATCGTCGCGAACAATCGCTTGAGTGGAACGTAGCGCTTTACTGTCCAAATTTATCGGCCTTTTAAAAGCTCAACTTGAACCCCACGTTGACCTGATCATTCCCAGAAAAGCGAAAACAGAAATCTAAAACAACCCAAATCCAAAACTGCTAAACCAAGGCTACGTGTCCGTTCCTGTAGGCGCCCATGGTTATCCCGAATGTTTCAACACAGCCGCTTATAACCTTGTACCAAAACCAAAACCAAAACCACGACACTACTAACACAAAAACCAGACACAGAATCGCTAGAAAACCGACATTGACAAATCAAAATCATTGGAAAGCTTGCAAATCTAATAAAATCAAATGGGTATCATGGTACATTTGATTTCTTTCTACTATTTCTGCTATAAATAGAACTCAGTTAATGTTTTTTTTCATACTCAAATTCACAATAGAACAAAAATATTAGAGGAGTAAAGTAATCAGATTAAAAAAATTCTCTAGTTTTGTCTCAGACAAAATTAAACAGCCATGAGTACTGTTGGTCAGGTCATCCGATGCAAAGGTGATCAGCTGTCTGCTTTATACTTTTGTTTCAATTATTTCTGGTTATATGATCACTGTCCTTTGTTGGATTTCATCTTATCTGTATGGGAGTGGTTTTGCCTGTTGGTTTTGAGGTCTTGATCGATGCTCGGGATTTATTGTTAAACCGTTTCTCTTTATTTGACCTCTAGAGATTTTTTTTTTGTCAGAAAAGACAATCTAAAAAATGGATTCGTTGTGTGTAAACAAAGCTACTATATACGTAGATTTAGCTTTATCTTTTTCCAGTTTGATGGAAATTCTTCTTTGAATCTTAGGCAATTCATCTAAGTAGTTCTTAATAATCGGTTGTTTCGCCATTGTTTTGCTAATTCAGTGGTCGTGGTTTTGCAGCCGCGGTGGCATGGGAGGCTGGGAAGCCACTGTCGATGGAAGAAGTGGAAGTGGCACCACCACAGAAAAATGAAGTCCGTATTAAGATACTCTTCACTTCGTTATGTCACACCGACGTCTACTTTTGGGAGGCTAAGGTTACACTTCTCCTTAGACTTAAATTTTTTTGGGTGATTGGTTCTATATATTTGTTGAAGAAGTAAAACCATTTAGCTTTTGTTTTGGAAAAAGAATTTCCATGAGAAAAGTTTTGACCAAGCACAATGTTATTGAGTGATCTGGAAACAATCTGTTAAATTACTGATTATTTGGGGAATATTGGCATTGCATTTATGTTGGGGTCTGGTCTATTTTTAAGCCAAATTGCTTATCCTCTACATTGGCTTTGGCCAGTGATTAATTTCTTTCGATTCCTTCATCTAAAGCTATACATTTGCTTAAGTTATACTCTTAGATACAAGACTCTGATTCCCATCTCTCGGATTGACATTGACAACTTTTTTCTCTTTTTGTAGGGACAAAATCCTCTGTTTCCTCGCATACTTGGTCATGAAGCTGGAGGGTATGTATATGTCTAAAATGCTTGAGAGAGTTTCCAGATTTTAGACAGATATAACCTTGAAATTGCATTAAAACTGTTTAAATGAGATGTGTAACAATTTTTTTTTTTTTTTGGTGAATTTAAATTAACCGGATTGGATGTCCAATTAGTTTCTGAAGACTGCAACTAATTGACCAAATTCTCATGTATAACCAATTTCTTTGAACTTTGTGGTCTTTAGGATTGTGGAGAGTGTAGGCGAGGGCGTGACTGATCTCCAACCAGGTGATCATGTCCTCCCTGTCTTCACTGGAGAATGCAAGGAGTGTCGCCACTGCTTGTCAGAAGAAAGTAACATGTGTGATCTCCTCAGAATCAACACTGATAGGGGTGAAATGCTTCATGATGGGAAATCTAGATTTTCCATCAATGGGAAGCCTATTTACCACTTTCTTGGCACCTCAACTTTTAGCCAATACACCGTTGTCCATGTTGGCCAGGTTGCCAAGATCAATCCAGATGCTCCACTTGATAAAGTGTGTGTTCTAAGTTGCGGAATGTCCACAGGTTTGGGACTTGCGGAGAACTTCGTTTTTTCTCATTTTTCTGTATATATAAATAATGCTAATGACAAGGAGGAATTTCTTGTCTCACAACTTATTTTGCTTGTGCCTGTAGGTTTTGGTGCCACTGTTAATGTTGCTAAACCCAAAAAGGGTCAGTCTGTTGCAATTTTTGGACTGGGTGCTGTTGGTCTTGCTGTGAGTTATTCTTATTGCTTTTATGTTTTTTCCCTCTTGGCAACTAGGAAAGTGTTGGACTGTTTTATCCTTAATTCTCTTTTGTGAAATATAGGCTGCTGAAGGAGCAAGAGTTTCTGGGGCTTCTAGGATTATTGGTGTTGATTTGAACCCCAACAGATTTGAAGAAGGTAGCATTAATTTAATTGTTATTTACTTAAGTCATTCGAAGATTGTTATATTCATGGTTAAGCAAAGTTACAAAATTGATCATGTTTCCCTTATTACTTCTTGCAGCCAAGAAATTTGGTGTTACAGAGTTTGTGAATCCAAAAGATCACAACAAACCTGTTCAAGAGGTTGGTTCCTGCTTGAAAATTTAATTTAGTATATGGTTCTTTTAGTTTCAAATTGTATCACAGATGGTTAACATTCCTGATCCTTCAACTTGAAAATTCATTTACGATTCTGACATGACCATACAGTTGCGGGGATCACCCTACATAAAACCTGCATTTATATAATCTACTTGTTTGAGATCCTGATTTGTGAAGCACATCCTTGTAGCTAGCTATTGGCTAGTGGATTATGGATGTATTAATACTAGAAATGTACTAGTGACTATTTGTTTTATGGGGTTTAACATTGTGCTTCTAATAAGTAGGTGATTGCTGAGATGACTGGTGGAGGAGTTGATCGCAGTGTTGAATGCACAGGGAGCATCCAGGCCATGATTTCTGCATTTGAATGTGTCCATGATGTAATTAGCTCCACAACCTCTTCTTCAGAGATGAGAGATTATATCTGTTTACATTGTCATTTTTAGCTGAAATCGCTTGTTTTCAGGGTTGGGGTGTTTGTGTGCTTGTTGGTGTCCCAAACAAAGATGACGCATTCAAAACTCATCCAATTAATCTACTGAATGAGAGGACTCTCAAGGGTACTTTCTTTGGCAACTACAAGCCTCGGTCTGATATTCCTGCTGTTGTTGAGAGATACATGAACAAGGTGAGTTTACATTTCTTGTTTAATGAATATCTTAGTCGAGACATGTCTACCTCTTTTCTCCTCTACCAATACCAATAAAAACTAACATTGTCATCCTTGATGTTGCAGGAGCTTGAACTGGATAAGTTCATCACTCACTCTGTCCCTTTCTCCGAGATTAACAAGGCATTTGAGTACATGCTCGCAGGCGAGGGTCTGAGATGCATGATTCGCATGGATGCTTAAGGAACGGCCGAATTAATCCATGGATGAAGATGGTGTTTTTTTTTTTTTTTTGAAAGAGTTTTATAGCGTACATGGAAGAGTGATGGAGTGAGTAAATAATTTGTGGTCCATGGTTTTGCAGTTTTGCAGGATCTAAGTAGTATTAGTTTTTGACACGCCCATGTGTATTTGTAATCTTTAAAACTTTATTCCAATAAATAATTTTTTGATGTTTTGATAATATTGATAAATATTAATAGTTAATTTTTATTTTGGTATAAGTAAAATTTAATACTTATATGATTAAAATTTTGATAATATTTTATAAAATTTTGATTACTTTTGACTTTAGTCTAATAATTTATTATTACAAAATAATTTTTATATAAAATAATATTATTTTATTTAAATTTAAAATTTTTTTGTTAAATTTTTGTTAGTAATCAAAATTTAATTCGTGACAATTTTAAGTATTAAAAAATTTATTAATGATTGATAATTAAGTTATCATTAATTTATTTTTATATTATTAATGATTTATTATTAAGTTTTTAATAATATATTATTAAATTATTATAATTTATTACTAAATTAGTATTGATTTATTATTAATTTATGAAGAATTTATTATTAAATTGTTGATGATTTGTTATTAAGTTATTGATAATTTGTTATAAAATTATAATTATTTACTATTAATTTATCAATAATTTATTATAAAATTATAAATGGTTAATTAATTTACTATTAATTTATCACTACTTTACAACTAACTTATTAGTAATTTGTTATTAAATTATCAATAATCTATATTTAAATTATTAATGATTTACAATTATGTTATACATTTACTATTATATATGTTATCATTGATTTATTACTTAATTTTTATTATATATTACAAAATAATCATAGATTTATTATTAAATTAATTGTGATTCATTTGTCAAGATATCACTTATTTATATTAAATTATTCATGATTTATTATTAAGTTATAATTAATTAACTATTAAATTATTGATGATTAATTACTATTAAGTTATATTGATTTACCTTTAAGTTTTGAATAATTAACTACTAAATTATCATTAATTTACTATTAAGTTATTTATAATTTACTATTAAGTTCATCAGTTAATTATTGTTAAACTAAAACTGATATACAATTAAATTATTATTGATTATTATTAAATTATTAATAATTAATTACTAAATTATCTATTGTTTTTTGTTAACCTATTATTGATTTACTAATAAATTATACATTTACAATTATAAAACATGAAATTTAAAAAGTCCACTAATAATATATGAGATAATTTTTATTTTATATAATAATAATATTATTTTATTCAAGTTTTAATTTTTATTTTATATAATAACATTATTATTTTATTCAAGTTTAGAATTTTTCACTAATTTTTTTTATTGAATATGTTCATGTTAGAATTATCCTAACCCCAAAAATAAAAGTTTTGATTTCGCTTCTACTAGTAATTAGTGTTCAATCCCGGACAACTTTAAGCATAAAAAATTATCAATGATTGACAATTAAGTTATCAATTATTTACTATTAAACTATCAATGTTTTACTACTAAATTATCAATATTTTTTTACTAATTTATGAATAACTTGTCATTAGTTATGAATTATTTACCATTAAGTTATAAAATATATATATTACATTATTGGTAATTTACTATCAAGTTATTGATGATTTATTATAAAGTTATAACTAATTTGTTACTAATTTATTGATAATTAACAAAAATTTTATTAATAATTAACTAATTTACTACAAAATTATCATTAATCACTAAGTTATCAATTTATTATTAAATTATCAATAATTTATCATTATATTTTTATATATTAACTATTATATTATTATTGCTTTACTATTTAATTTTCGATTATTTACTATAAAATTATCACTTATTTATCGCTAAATTATCTATAATTTATTACAAAGTTATTGTTATTTAATTAAATTATACATGATTTACTATAAAATTATTACTGATTAATTATTATATAATTGATAATTTACTATTAAGTTATATTTATTTACTTTTAAATTTTCAATTATTAATTACTAAATTACCAATTATTTACTATTAATTTATCATTGATTTATTTACTACTAAGTTATTTATGATTTACGACAATCAATTAATTGCAATTAAATTGAAACGGATTTACTATTAAATTATCATTAATTTATTACTAAATTATTAATAATTAATTACTAAATTATCACTTTTTAAAAGTTATCCTACATTTAGTAATATTATAATGCATTTACAACTATATTATAATTGATTCACCGTTAAGGTATTATGTATTTTATTATTATATTATTATTAATTTACTAAAAAATCATCAATTAGTTGCTACTAACTTATCATTCATTTACTTTTAAATTATCACTAATTTATTATTAAGTTATCGATTATTACTACTAAATTATATTGATTACATTTAAGTTTTCATTATTTAATTATTAAGTTATTAATTATCCACTATTATATTATCATTGATTTGTGTATATCTAAAATGAAAGTAACTGTGATGTATGCTAGATGATATAATTTGTATGATAAAGAAGAAAGAAGAAAAATTCAAATGTAAATAACTTTAAAAAATAAGTAAATATTTTTAATTTACTATTCGTAGTTTAACACATAATAATAAGTAAAAATTATAATTTTTTATATTAAAACAAATATTAAAACTAAATTAAATAATATATACAATATATTAAGCTAGTATTTCTAAGATATTCTTCAAATTTTTAATTCATGGTAAATTTGTACAAATTAAGATAAATTTTATTGATAATTTAATTAAATTATTAGTGTATGTATTTTTATACCTGTTAATGAAGTACAATTGCATACAAAAATTAAAAATTTTAAAATGTTCTGTCATTAATGTAAGTAATAAACTTTGCTTTATGTGTTTAGCTTTAAGTATATAATTTTTTGTAAAAATATTATTATATATATGATAATAGTGATGAGAACAAACTTATTGCTTTATGTGTCTAGCTTTAAGTATATAATTTTTTGTAAAAATATTATTATATATGTGATAATAGTGATGAGAACAAACTTATTAAATAAAATATAAAAATTAAATAGATAATAATTTTAAAACTATTAAATTCACAATAATTACCTTTACATTCTCTATAAAAAAAATTTTACTAAATGAAAAAATGTTATATTTTTAATTGTTGCTTCATTCCCATTACCATCATTCAAAATAATATATATATATATATTTTGATACCAATCAACTTTTACATTTGGAAAGAGTAAACAACTTTTTAAATTATTATTACAACCAAAATAATATTTAATTCTATGTTATCTTCCTTAATTAGTATGAACTATGATATCTTTTTCATATGAAATGTTTGAATTGTTTTTCTCAACTTATATAATAGCAATTTGATCAACAAATAAATAATTATAAACTTGTTGATATAGATTAATATTTTTGCATTATAAATTTTAAATCCTCAAAAGAAGATATATCATTTAATCTCTGTAAAACTTGAGAATAAAGATTTTCTTTTAAAATTATCATTAGTATCTCTATTACTTTTATACTTAAGTTTCCATTATGATTTGTTCTCATTCTATTTTGAAATTTATTACAATATCATAAAAGTATAGTGAAAATAACATGGATTAATCAACTCAAATTTGAAATAATTAAAAACTCATATTGAGTAGAAATAAATTTTTTACTCATTTTAAATTTTAATTTAACTAAAATAATATATTACACATAATTATAAAAATGAACTAATTTGACTCGATTTCAATTGAATTTAAAAAGTAAAAAACTTAATAGCTATTTAAAATCTGAAATGATTGACATAATCAAAATCTGATTTGAAATAATAACCCAATCAAAATCTAACATTTCTTATTCATCTTTTGTAACAATTTAAAATTTTCTTATTTAAACTTTTTTCGCTTCATCTTCAATGTCTTATTTTTATTGTCTTTGTGGTTGACTTAGTTAGTTAATTTTAAGAGTATTTCTAACATGAAATTGCATTTACAAGTAATTGAGTGTACTTCTTTTTATTTGGACTTAGGACAATTTGAATTTAGCTTTCTAAATAAAAAGAAGTATGCACCAATTATTAAGTCAAATTTGCTCAGATACAAAAATGAATAATTGAGTACATTATGAATAGAAATAGATAATAAAACTTAACTCAAACTAATTAGTTACTGATTCTAAGTCTAAAATCTAACTCGAAATTATAAAAAGTTAAAATCCAAAATGATTGAAAATGTTAAATACACAATTAAATAAAGATTTATCAAATAAATTTTGCTAATGAATGCTCTTAAATCACTTTTAAGTTTAGTCAAATTATAGTTTATAATAATATTTTAATATTAAATATAATAGTGATAATTAATTTGATGAATTTCAATTCTTTTGAACAAATATTATATAATATGACAACTTTAAAAATTTTGATACAATATTAAACATTCTTCAACTAATACAATGCAAAAAAGGAAGGAGTATATAATATTTCTCCTAATAAAAGAGTTTCATGTTAATCCTAAAGAAATTTGAAATCAATATATTTGTATATTTTTCATTGAAACATCATATAGCATTAACTTTCTTTGTCATATGAAGAAAATAAATTTATACATAACCAATCAATCTTTTTATCTCATTTTTTTGCTTAAAATAAATTTTCATTGGTGCTTCCATAAATTGAATATAATTGTATGTTCTATCAATTAAGAGCTTAATTTTTCTATTATGTAAAATTTTTTATTATACAAATTTTATTATATAAAATATTAAAATACTTATTTTTAAAAAATTAAATTAAATAAAATTCTAACCTTGGTACTTTTAATGTGTTTTTAGGAAAATTTCAATTCAAATAATAATAAACTTGTTATGTAATACTTATAAAAATTATAATGATTTTATTTTTAGCATTAATAATATAAATTTTTATGAATGAATATAACTTTGTCATAAACACATTCAAAAGTAGTTTCAACG